TGTTCCCCAGCCAGAGCTTGTTTTTTTTTTTTTTTTTTGGAAAGGAGGCAACTTTTATGGAATTAAAAGGATAAGTTTAGGTCTTAGAGCTGAGAATTCACATGTAAGGAAGAATGGGATCAGTGGCCTGAAAGGAACTAGAGTAATGAGGTCAAATACAATTCACTCAGTGAGGGCCTTAAAATAGTCTTAATGGCTGGACAGAGTATGCCATGGCTTTTTTTAGTCTGCTGTCCCCTGAACATATTGGAATTTATCTCACTCCACTACAGCTTCATGCAGTAGTAGTGGCTTCATCTTTCCAGAAAGTCACAAGAGGGAATCACTGCCCAATGCCACATTACCACCTAATCTTCACTCATTTAAAAGAAAAATCATTTTTTGTATCAATGCTTAAAGCATTTTAAAAAGTTGCTATTATGAGACAAGATTTTGCTTGGAGCATGTGTGCATATTAGACACCCCACACCTTCCTCCAATTTTTTTTTTGTAATCTCCTTGATGCACACTGTCACAGTTAGGGATAATACCCTAATTGCCAGATTCCCAATTTTCCACCCGATCTTGTGCCGGTTATTTATATCCACAAAGTCTGATTCTTTTGTCACATATCATGCCATGATTTAAGTGGAGTAACTCCGTCCTTCTCATAGTGCAGCTCGCTGCAGCAGCTGACCCTATAGAGGCCAACTTACCCAAGCCTCTTTATATTTTCCTTTCTTCCTACAAACGTAGTGGTTATTGCCTTCATTTCAAAGAGGGAGCACGGCTCCTTTTGTCAAATTATTTAGGTGGCTCGAGAACCACACACAAAACAACCCTCCCTCCACCCCTTAGGGGGGAAGGGATTGTGCAGCAGCCCGTCCCTGAGGCCGTTCCAACTCTCCGGGAGGCAGCTCCTCTCCCCGGGGATTAATTTAAAGCCCATTTCCAGGGAGGAAATTGCAGTCTCACTCCGTTTGTTTTCGAACTTCAATGGTCCCCCCCACCCCCCAAATGTGCTCAGCCACGGAGCTGCAAGGCCAAGGCCGGGCATGGAAACGAGCGAGGGCGCGGGAGAGGGACCCCACCAAAGCCTGGCAATTCAGTCACGCGTCTGGCGGGGGACCCCCGCCCCGCAAAGCACTGGAGGCGGGACGCGAACGGCCCCGGGCGGTCGCACCACGCGGGTTGCCCCTAGAGGAGCCTGCCCCGCTGCTGCCTACGTGCCCCGCAGCTCCGCGGGGGCGGGCTGGGCGCCAGCCGAGCCGCAGTTCTTAATAAGGGGCCGCGCGGCGGCGGCGGCGGCTGAGGGGCGGCGGCAGCTGCTGCCGGAGGGGCAGGGCAGGGCTCCGGGCGCTGGGCGGAGACTGCGCGTCGCTCTCCTCGCTCCCCGCCACCTGCGGCCATTTGCCAAGGGCGGGCTCCGGCGAGACACACCTGAGCGGCCGCCGCCTGGACAGCGCCTGGGTCGCGCTCAGCACGGGCGGCTCCATGACCAGCAGCGCCGACCGCGGAGGCGAGATGGAGGGTAAAGGCGGCCCGGGCAGCGCCTTGGTTCTGTCTCTGCCCTTCTGCGGGGGGCGGCGGGTCCTGGCTGGTGGGCTCCGCTCGCTGCCCGCCCCTCGCCCCTCTTCCGCTCCGGTCCTCGGCTCTGCAGGGCCGGCTCTCCCGGGGTGGGAAACCTGGGGGAGGAGGGAGGGAGGGAGGGATATTTGCGGGGGGGGCTGGTGGTCTCGGGTTTGCTGCTTGCTCTGCGGACGGCTTCTTGGGGGGCTTGCCTCTGCTTTCAGCGGCCTTGGCCTGCCCTAAGTGCTGGGCTTGCTGACCCGTGGGGCTTGCTCTGGAGTGTCTGAATGAAACACTAGTGCAGAGGTGGCACTGGGCTCAGTTTGTAAGGAGAGAGGTGAGTGGGGGTGGGAGGTGAAGAAACTTTTTTTTAAAAAAATCTTTCATAACTGATGCACAAGCGGAGAGGTGCCCCTGCTGGGGCTCTGAACTGCCCAGTCCAGAGGCTAGAGGCTCAGCTCTCCCAGAAATTAATCTCTTGGTGACCCAGGGAGAGAGGCCGAGGGAAAGGTTATTGAAAGGTTCTGCAGGGGTATGGGCCAGTGTTCCCTGTAAGGTGAGCACTTGGGCAGCCACCCAGGAGAGACTCAAATGCCCCAGGGCTGATTAGCAGAGCGCTCACAGCTGGCAGCATGTGCGTCTGGTGGTGGTGCCCACTCACATATGCTTTGGTGCACATAACAAAATGTATTCTGCACATGGATGGAAAAAATATTAGAAGACTGGACTCATGGCCCCTGTTGCCTCTGTCTCTGCACCCTGAAACTTAACATGTAGGTAAACAACATCTAGTAACAACACATCCTACTCACTGTCCTGTGTCTGCCCAGCCCCTTCCAGAGTTTGCAGGCATCCCTCCCCTCCTCAACTATTCTCTGTCAGTTTAGCAAGTGTTTAAAACAAAACCAAGGAAAGGGGCAACATAATTGGGATGCACAGTCCCCATGTGCCATTGAAGTGCTTGGGACTTGATCGTCTCAGCTAGCAAGACATTGGGGCACTATCGGTCACTTTTTTTTCTGAGGGGGAAATATGACCCTCCTGTAATTGCCATTTCCTTGATAGGCATATTGGAGGCTGCAGAGTCCACATCCCCTCTCCCCCCCCCCCCCCCCCCTCCTCCCCCCCCCTCATACATGGGGCTCTCCAGGCTGGATGGGGCTGCAACTGAGCCCCTGATCTAAAAGATGTTCCCCTCCCACACCTCAGCAGATGGTCTGCAAAGCAGGTAGTGGGAAACACTGGGACTCCAGCTGCAGGGAAGGAGAAGCAGCCCCATGTAGCAGGGGGAGTTCAGCCTGCAGCCAGCTGCTGTACTGCTTCCTTCCAGTGTGGTGAGTGCTGTGTCTCAGGGAGCTGCTGCCTCCTTGCTGCTGGGCATCCCAGTGAGAGGTGTCCTGTATCCCTAGCCTCTTGCATAACCTTTCATTAAGGATTCCACAGGTAATGTCATGTGATGAAACCTCCAGGAATTGGCAACCCTACTTAGTGCACCTGCTTCTGAGTGTAAGTGCACCTTTCCCTGCCTGCTTACACAAAGTTATCATCTGTGTTTGGAACTGGAGGGGGGGGGGGGCAGTATCTGGAGTGAAGGTGCCTTTCACCCACCCTTTGCAATCCCAAACTGGTAGAGTTCTGAGGAATTTCTTTGGGATAATGGTGCAGAAGATGGTTTGCTGGTCTCCTTGATGTATTCCTCCTAAAGCAGAAACTTTCATATCAATTTATGGAGCAATATTCCCAAAACCCTTCGAGATGCTGTAGTATTTCAGCCACATACTATAGAATAGTGTAATACTTTATTGTTAAAAGAAGTACTTTAAAGACCAATACTGACACCTTCCACCCACCCTTTGCTCTGGTGAGAACAAGAAATCTAATGATGCTCTTTGAAGCAAGCATCTTAGGGAAAAAAATGCATCTATTTTATAAATGCATTAATTACACCAGAAAGTTATTACAATAGCACACTGAGCATAAAAGGAAGAAAGCTGTTAAATGCACAGGTGAAGGACTAAAATGTTTAAAATATAAGCTTTTAGACATTAAGTATGTGAGAGACCTATTTTTCATATAACTATGATGCTGTTAATGAGATATGAAAGGAGAACTGTCAAGGTCATGTAGTTTGATGCATTTATATATTTAGGATATTTGTTATACTGTTAACGTGCAAAAATTAGCAATGTGCAACTTACTGGTTTCTTACCTGGAAAAAACTATTCATCATCATCCTCTCTTTTTTCCAGTGCTGAGATTGGGTAGGGTCCAGGTTATGAACAGACTCCATTACCATCTGTTTTGAACTGTTGTGGGGGCTGCCTGGATAGTTTTGAATACCATGTTCTACTGCTGTCTTCTTGAACACCTAGCAACATAGCCAAAAGATTGTAGTCGATGCCTTTTGATGACTGTAATCATGTACTGTACTTTCACTCTTCTATGGATGTAATTTCTTAGGCCATCTAGCTATATAGCATCTTTGATACAGTGCAGACACTTCATTTTAAATGTTTTCAGCTTTTGCTCCAGATGCTTTTGTCAATACCTGTTTCTCACAACCATAAAGTAATGTGGGTACAATGACCATTATGCGTAATCTGTTCTATATGTTGTGCACACTGATTTTAGTTTTGAAACTTTTTTATTCAGATGCTTGAATGAACTGCTCACCATAGCTGTCTGCTTGTTCATGTCTTCTTCATAGCAGTTGTCATGTGTTACGATGGGGGAACCCATGTAGCAGAAGCTATCTCCTTGTTTGAGTCTACAACATTAATTATTACTCTAGCCTGTTTCTTGATTTTTGACATCACTATTCATTTGGGGTTTTTTGTTCATTCATTTTTAATCCCTATTGGCCCCGATTCTATTCTGTTCTATTCAGAGAGCTATGTTTGCAAGAAATCAGATAATGTAGAATAAATTGGTTGTACACTGTGTACATTCTTTATTAAAACTGTAACAGAATAAAAAAAGGGGGGGGGCTATTGCTAGTCTGAATTTAAAAAAATATGCTTTGGGATGAGCATTCCATCTCCCTCCCATAAGATCAAGAAGAATATTCTAGATCACTGGTTTTCAATTTTTTCCATCTCATGACCCTGTTGTAACAGAAAAAAGATTTGGGAGCCCCCTTACTTCTAGTCATAAAGGAAGGGTGGCTGGAACCCTAGAGGCTTGGTTGTAGCCCCCAAATTGAGTTTTTGTCCTAGATTCCCGCTTCCCGGGAGCCCAACTTTTTTACATTGTTTTGGGTTTAAATCTTGAGTATTTTATTTGTGGGGGAAAAACTGTAAACCATCAATAAAATACACTTTTAAATGAAAACTCTGGATTCTTATTATTTAAGAATCTTTTTCTGTTTGTCATAAATGGAATAATCTTTATAAAGTAACATTATATTTCTGGTATATTGTAAAATATACTTAGGCGTACATTGTGTCTCAAGACATCTCTGTGTGAGAACCACATGAGACTGAGCATCCTTGAAAATTACTGATCTCAAATAGTTAATGTTCTTTTTCTGAGACAAAACTGAAAGTAAACTTATGGTGTCCACTCATGTGTGTCAGACTTGCTCAGCTAGAGGGTCTTGTGCTCCCTTCTGCTGTGACGTAATGTTTAAAGGTGATGGGTAACTGTTAATAGTGAGAGGAGGAGGAAACAATTTAAAGGTTCTAGTAGTATACAGTGGGGTTCAGGACAGGTCCTCAAGAGACAAAGGAGTTTTGATTTCTGAGAAACTTTTGAAGTTATGTTATATGATACTATATAATAGTAGATGAAGACTCCTGTAAAAGCAAGAAGTTTTTACATGTGAAGAAGCTCTGGATTGCACTGATGTGTTATCAGTCCTTTTGTTATGATGATTTATAACTCTTATGTCAGGGATCAGTTCTAATTTAACCTTATAAAATTATTTTCTCCTCTCCACTTGATTCAGTTATCTTTTCTGGGTTACAAGGAGACATTGGGTCTCTTGGGCATCACAAGCATCATTTGGATAGTCAGGTCAGGAGAATGGATCGTCTTCTGTTCTTGAGGTGGGTTCTCCCCTGACTCTCTGGTCTCCTGTAACACATGAGTTTTGGGAGCTGTTCTTGGGTTAATCAGTGGGACTGACAGCCTTGCTGGGCCCTTGGGCAAGGTGTGTGTTAGGGAGGTTAGATTAATTGGCTCATCGAATAGTCGATGCAATTTGCATCAACTATTCCATTAGTCAATAAGGGCTCCTCCTCCCCACAATCCGCTGCGGGGAGCATGGGGCCAGCGGCGGACTCAAGTAGTCTCCTGTTCCTCGTGGCATTTCAAAGCGGCAGTTCCGCATGGAGCCCAGGTCAGAGTCCTCAGCTGACCCCGGGCTCCAAGCAGTGTTGCCGCTTTGAAACGCTGCCTGCAGCCCACCCCCGTCCAACCCTCACAGCCACACAGAACAGTGCTCCGGCGTTCTTGCAGCAATTTTATAGGGGCTTGGAGTTCCGATGGCTACCGCAGTAGCCGTGGCTGGGAGTTACAGGGATGGGGCAATTGCCTCTTTAACTCCCCCTATCAGCAGGCCTGGGGTTAATGCATGGGTAGTTCTAGAGGGTGGGGAAAAGGCTCCATGTCCCCACTCACAATACTCCTAGTGAGGTATATGCAGAAATGAGTGGGAGGAGAGGTGGAGAGCAGTGATTATAGGGCTCCCACACGTACAGCAGTAGCATGGCTCTCATTCCACACTACTGTAGGGGTAAGAAAAGTGTAAAGAATTGCAGGGGTGACACTCGTTCATCCCTGGTACATAACTAGAGCTTTCGCAGCAGCTACTCCAGTCACAGCAACAGTGGAAGCATTCAGAAGGGGCCGAAAATGTTAACAAGAAGAGCCAGCATTGAGATTTTTTGGGACAGGTTGTGAAACAGGTTCAAACTACCTTCTGGCAGTTGGAGTCCATTTTTTTTCTCTGTAAATTAGACC